ACACTTAAAAATAGTTTACTGATAATAGTTACCCTCCACCCTCAAGAATGGTTTTTGTTTGACTTTTTGCTTTTGTATGAACACTGGAAAAACTTTTTCACTATTTTAGATTCCTCTATATCAGCCTACATCAGTAGTGGAAATATGGGGAATGCTTATTGAACATATTATTAAAAGACAAAAGCCTTGGGTACCAGTGAGGGTACTTTTATTTTGAAAGTCATCAAGAGCTAAACAGGGAAGGCCTAGGGAGAAAGGTACTTCAGAAAGACCCCTCTTTCTGAAGAGGTATGCCAAATAAAAGGGTCACAGTTATTGTTGCCATGGTACACAGGTCAGACAGGGAGGCATGAGCCAGGTCTCACATCAGAGGGGGGTGGCTTAGAAGGGAATCTGCAAGATTGCATCTGAGATGCAAAACTTGTAAGGAGTTGTCCATGTTTAAGACAGTCATAGACTTTTCAAGGACAACTGCTGTAACTTATTTACAATCATCAAGTCTGTCAAGTCCTTCCCTTAGTTCATAACTAAATTCTGACTCAGGAGATAAAGTGTCCTGCCCTGTGTCACACGGATAACTGTTGGCAGTGTGAGGCTAGAATTCATATTTCAGTTGCCTGGTCCATTTCGAGAAAATTTCCCATTTACTATCATTGTTATTTCACCAAGAAACCCTTTTGGTTCAAGTGCTTTCTCTGGTGGGCTAGGTCTCTTGGTAATCATTTTCTCCACTATCTGATACCAGCAGTGTGGTTGTGAGCCCTGAACAAAGCTTCCATTTCTATACCGGGAAAGTAAGTAGGAATAATTTAGTAGTCTCACAAGAGTTGTAGATTGTCAAGAGGGTTAAACGGGACAATCTGCTTATTTTTAGAGATATCTCAGTATGTAGCTGAGGTTACTTTTAAACTCATCATCTTCCTCCCTCTATTTCCTGAATACTGGAAGACTTACACTTTGGTGCCCAGAGGGCATCACACTTATAGAGAGTTTCACGCACACTGGGGTGTGGTAAGCTCCCCTCCTGGCTAGGGAGTGTCATCCCCATCACCACCTGCAATTATCCAAAGCCCTATCAACAAGGTTCACCAAGCTGTAGGAAAATATGATTAGCTGGAATTTTAAGAATCATCCGTAACTGCTTGGATTCTGACTGTCTCCGCCCCTATCTGGCTGGGAGATAAAGTTAGCCCTAAGCCTTGGCATTCTCATCTGAAAAACCAAGATGGCTGACTGTATTTGGTGAAGGGCAGATGAGAGACCATGCGAAGGCAGAGTTGTGTGGAGTTTACCAAGCCAATCATTTCGAAAGGCATGCCACAATGGCCCTGTTGAGAGCACTCTTAGACCATCTTATCATCAGGAGTTGGACTCTGCAAGAGGCCTGCTTTCTTCTCTCTTCTACTCCCTCGACCCTAACAACATCACGGTTTTCCAGGTCTGCTGATGGGACTCTAGCAGAAGAGTCAGTCTTCGGTGCGGGGTGTTTTTCAGGTTTGGGTCAAACAGGTTGGCTGTTCACTGTGCCTTTCCTGGTGCCCAGCCATTCTGCAAGAGACCATCACTATTGACCGCCGAGGAGCCAGACACGTCCTGGTCCAAGTGTTGCTGAGAATCACTGTGACTTATTCCTGGAATGTGACATCAGCAGGCACTTTCCTTTTTTCGTTTTCTTAAAACTTCGTAGACAGGAAGACTAAGTCTGAGTTGAACAGGAAGTCGCTCAGCACGATGGGGTTAATTTCTGGCACTTAGACTACATTTCCCAGCTGCTGTTCTCATGATCAGTCAGCTCACACAAATTGGCGGCTTATAGTAGACTGCCCAGTACCTTATTTCATTAGGAGAAAGATTGGGAATGACATCTTGCTCTCTCTGTGTCTCTTAGTCTTTGATCTTTACTCCAGGAATGTTAGAGGCAATATGCATTTCCAGGGCCATCACAACTAAAGACACCTGTGACCACACAGGGCCTTGAATGTGGGAGGCGGCCCGGGTTGGGTCTCAGTTTGATACGGGTGGATATTTTTGTCATTAGCTAAGTTGCAAAGCCCCTGCTTGTTCCCTCTTATAAGAGAGCTCCTGTGAACTGGAGGGCAGATGTGTTAAGAAGATCAGAGGCAATGAGGAGAAGACTTACAGCTTCACACTTCTTCCCCAATGACGTAGGAACCTCAGTAGCTGAAGTGATCTCCAGCTGACACAGGGTTCCCTTTGACCAAGCCCTGACATACAAGTTGACAATTACTTAGAATATTGCTTTCCCTTCAGAGTGATGGTTTTCTTCTTTCTTCCAAACAATGTCTCATCTTTGCAGTGTAGCTAACAATCGTTCCTCATTCCAGAGAATATTTATAGGATAGGACCTATCTCTTGGAACACACACACACACACACACACACACACACACACACACACACACACATCAAACCATGTGTTATGTTTTTCTCTGAATGTCTCAACAGAAAGATTGTCTACCAAGAACAGTCTCAAAGGACGCTAGAGGTAGAGAGACACAGAAGTGTGTTAGCCATTGACCTATACTAGTGCATCAGATTTGACAATTTAGGGACATTGTAAATAACCATAACTCAAAAACACACATTAAAAAAAAAAAGGTTCACGGAAGCATTTGGGAAGTAATGATCTGAGGTTTGCTCTGGTCCTCGCTGTTTGAGTTCCTCCCTATTGTCAAGGGCTAAGGAAGGCTCTCTAACTATTCTGTTATTATTTCCCACACTCTTGACTAATTGCCTCATTGTGGTGCCTATCTGTATACAATGTACTCTGTTGGGACCTGAGAAGATTAATTTGCCTCCTGAGGGAGTATCCTTTGGAGATATAGGATGGCCTGACTCATTTTAGAGATAGTTGTTACCAGCAGACTACCTCAGCCTATGACTACATCAAAAACCCACATAAAGACTAAATAAGGTGTCACTACGGTTTCCCTGCAGCAGATGTGTCTGTCCCCATAACTGAAATTGGAAAGCCTTGTCCTCAAAGCACTGAGAATTTTAAAAATGTACCGACTGGCAGATGTGCAAAGCGGCGAGTCTCCCAGTCTCTCGCCAGGGAAGAGGAAAAGGCAGTTAGTTGGCTCTTGGCGATTGATACACAGTTCTTCCTGGCCTGTGCTTCTTGGCCCTCATCAGTGTGGCATCCTGAGCCTGAGCCTCTGGTGCTCTCTGCTGCTCCCTCATGGCTGCCCTGTGCCCTTCAGTGACCTTTGGGGTGATAACCATTGCCATATTCTCTGTGCTTTTGCTCAGGAGCTTTCCCTGGCTTTTAATAGCATTTGCATCTCAGGAAATTCTGATAGAATTAAGGGAGAAAGTATAATGATCCCCACTTTACAGATGAAGTACTGGGGTCAAGACACAGGGTATTTAGTCAATCATACAGGTCACAATAACAACTCTAATCCTAGACCTTAACCCAAATCTCCCATCTTGATCTGTGGCTCTTTTCATTGGCACACATCATGTGGGCATAGAAAACCACAGTGAGGGGGCTGGGCAGGTGGCTCAATGGGTAACATGACTGCTGTAGTATCATGTTATCAATACCTTGTATCCACGTTGAAGCCCAGTATAGTCTCCGGCATCCTTAATCTCAGCACTGAGAGGGTGGGTACACAGTACAGTCTCCAGCATTGGTGATCTCAGCACTTTGGAAGTGGACAGGCAGCTCCTAGATCTTGACTACCAGCCAGCTGAGAGAGTCAATGAGCTCCAGGTTCAATGAAAGAGATGCCTCAGAGTAAGGTGGAGCACAGAAGACGAAGATTCCTGACCTTGACCTCTGGCCTCCTCACATGCATGCATACAAGAGCCAACCTGTGTACACATTGACATGCATGCAAAGTCAGAAAAGAGAGGATTTATACCACATCGTTTCCCTTGATTCCTGGATGTATTTGGTTTGAGTTTATTGCTCTGATCTTCAAATACAAGAATGATTAATGTGGTTATAAGAAGGCTCCGATATACATAGCCAGTATTATACAGAGAGTTTAAAAATTGCCGTGTCTGCTAGGATAGTTTATGGCATTAATATCATATATGTTTTGTTCCATGATATAAATAATGTTATAAAGTAAAACTGGTATTTCTATAACTAAATACTAATAAGCCCTAGCCTATTAATATGATCAAAAGGTCAACAGAATGGGTTGCTTACAGAATTAAAATTTTAAAAAATCAGCTTAAGATAGAATAGGGTAGACATGAAAATATCAATGCTCAGTAACTTAACAAACATGAGGCTTTTATGGTATAGTCTACGTCATGGATTACATTACAGAGCTTTTTCCTGTCTCTCTGTATGTATCTATGTATGAGGGTGTGCACATGCATGAGGCATGCATGGAGACTGGAGGTCAACCTCAAGTGCCCAGCCTTACCTTCTTGGAGTCAGGGTCTCTTTAACATTCACTGCTATGTACACCGGGGTGGCTGGCCAGGAGCTTTCGGAGATTCTGTTCATTTCCTTTCACATCTGTCTGTAGCAGTGCTGGATTTATCAATGGTGTTGCCTTGCCCAGCTTCCCATGGGTGCTAGGGATGCAAAATCCTATTCTCATGTTTGTGCATCAAGCACCTTGCACACTACACCATCTCCCAGGCCTAATAGTATCTCTTACTAAACTGTCCATCTCTTTTTCCTTGCTTTTCTTCTTTAGCCTCATTTTCTCCTCTTTTATTCATCCCACTCTCCTTCATGTATGCAGGAACTGAACCCCCAAACCTGCTACCTTTGTTTTACTTACTTGTATCAACACCCCTACACACCCTCCCCTCCTCAGCCCCCCTGACATGCTTATATCTCCGCTGAGACAACGCTTTTTTCTCAGTTTGATCATCTGTGCCCTTCCTCTTCCCCTCCACTGAAAAAAAATAGGTCCTGTGTGATGTGGCTTTCCAGACAGCGGTTGGCTATTCTCTCCTTGTTCCATAAATCAATCGCTGTGTCTCTAAAGCTTCATATTTCCATTTCAGGCAAAACAACTCGAATCTGAAGAAATGAAAGCTCCAAGGACAGTTGCGTTCTGCTTGGTGCTTATTGTGATGTGTTCTCCAGAAGCGACGTGGAGCACGACTGTACAGCCCATTGTTCACCCTTTGGTGAGTACATCCACAGATGCAGCAATTTCCCCATCTCGGTTCTTCGATTTCCTAGTAAGGTCAAAGTCAGAAAACAGTTTTTTTTTTTTTTTTTTTTTTTTAAATGTGGTATAGGAGGGCATTCAGGGGTAGTGCTCCCTAGGAACATAGGTAGTCATCGGTGTGTTTACTAGGCTACAACTTCCTGTGGCCTGAATCAGTGGAAGTGTCAGGAGACTGCCCAGCCTCCTTCACCAGACTGGCATCTCCTCTCCCCATGGTTGGCTTTGTGTAGCCAAGGAAAGCTATACATACAGATCAACCCTGAGCTGTAAATTTCCTTAAAACAGTCAGACTTAAAAGCAACATAACTCAATTGCATAGTTCTTGTTGGTAAACTCTGTAGGTTACAACATCATGTCGCCATCTCAGAAAGACTGGAGACACCTGCTTGGCTGAGAGTTTACACTGAAGCTGGCAGTGATAAGCAGGTTTGGAAAATCGTGCAGAAAATGTGCTCTCAGAGGACTTTACCTGATCATCAGCCTGGTTCAAACGCCTTTAATCTGTGTGTGTGTGTCACAGTCAAAGGCCAGCATCGCCAACCCAGCATGGGCAGTGTCTAGGATTCTTCCCCGGGAATAATGCAGGTCCTTTGTCTATGGGAAGTCGGGAGGCATTCAGCTAAGGGAGGGATATTGCTTCATACACCAGAGGCAAGGCCCATTGCTGGCTGGGAGATGAGACACGCAACTCAGCTTCTTCTCTCCATCTTGAGAATCATGTTAACAGTGGTACCAGTTTCCTATGATTCTTATGAGGATTAAACTGGTTTGCATTTATAGCAAGCATCCGATTGTTCTGTTTTAGTCTGTGTGTCACTGCTGAACAAGTTTTAATAACTCCCGGGTAAATAAAAGCTTGCCTTTGAGACTTATTTTCTTGTATTGAACGTAATCTGAGGAGACTAGAATTTGATTCAGGGAGTGTAATTTATTCACATTTAGTGGGATTTGCTTTTGCTTTCAGCGTTTTGCTTCATCGCGGTGTTTTTATGAGCTTTCTTGACGTGGTAACAAGTAGACAACATGTTGGCTCACAGTTCTAGAGACTTTACTCGGTGGAGGGATGGCATGGCAGACCACAAAATGTGCACCACAGTAGCTGTGACACCAAGTAAAGGAAAGGCTGGTGTCTGGCTGTACCTCTCCTCTCCCTTCCCCTTTCTGCTCTGTCCTCGATGCTGTCCCCTAGCATAGGAGCAATGCTAGCAACCATGGTGGGTCTGTTCTAGGCAAACCTCTCTGGAAAGGCACCTGGCGGTGTATCTCAGTCTCCTAGATGATCCTTGGTCCAGGAAGTTAACAGTAAGGATTCACCATCTGAATGATTTTATGTGCTTGCTCCCTTTCCCCATGGAGGGTCTTTTGTTTTGGTCTCTATCTTCTTTGTCCTTTTTCTCTCATGACTTGAGGGAAGCACGTATCTCTCTCCTCCCAAGCCCGGTTTGTGGGATGCAACCTAGGCAGGAGATGAGCCAGCCCTTGTGGGGTGCAACCCAGGTGATTGATGAGACAGCTTGCTCATCAGATGGAGGAGGGAACGTTTACAACAGTACAGCACCTGTTACTCAGAAGATGTGTGTCCCTTGTGATTCCAACATCGAGGTCAGCCTAACCCTCTCCTAGAATTGACCCTAATTCTCATGCTCACAGTAACAAGCTGAGCATGTCTCACCTGGCATCACACGTGAAGTCCAGCTTTTTCCTCGTATCTTTGAACTTACACCCTCTGTGTAAAAATAAGAATAAACAGCATGCCCTTTTCTGGCTTGTTGTAAGGATCATAGCACGAGCCTTCACCAAGGGCTTCTGAATTGGTCCTTAGAATCCATGTGTGCTGCTGGCCTTCTGTGAGGAATCTTGGTTAGGTACTTCTAAGTTCTCCAACTTAGAAGCAAAAGTATAGATTGGCATTCTAGGCTAGCAAAAGGAGTGAGTGGCAGGCTCCGGTGATGGGGGTTGAGATGTGGGGCATCTGGACTCTCTGGTGGACATCTTTTTGCCTTCTGTCCCTTTAGATTTTCATTCCCTCTTTCCAAGCTGGGAGATGGCTCAGTTGCTGAGCCATTCTTACTGGGCAAGAACGAGGACCCAAGTTTGCCCCCCAGCACCCATGTGAAAAAGCCACCCTGGGGGAGGAGGGAACAGGAGGATCCCTGTCACTTACCCCCAGCTGGCCTAGCCAAACTGGTGAGCCTCAGGTAAAAAGGAGAAATCCTGTATCAAAAACTAAGGTGTAGAGTAAGTGAGGAAGGCATCTAAAGTTAACCTCTGCCATTCACAGGTACATGTGGACACACACAGACATGCACATCCATGTACATACACACAAACACACACAAACTCATGCATGCACACACACGTGCACACACATACTCATGCACGCACACATACTCATGCGTGCACACATACACGCACGTGCACACACACACACACACACACATGCACACCACCTCTCCTTCCCTACTGATTACCTTCTCCAACTCCAGGCCACTCCACTTCCACCAAAATTATTTAGAAAGTCGTCTTGTATGAAAGGTGGAGCTCTTCCTGGAATTGGTGGCCTGTCTCCTCCTACTGAAGCTCTGCCATCAGGAAATCCCCAATGGAGGGAGCTGTGGCTCACAAACTCATCTGGAGAACTTTGCATAGAGTGTGTAGACAGATCCAAGCAGGAGCTGTTTTGTCTTACCTGAAAACACCCCAGAGCTGTGTGATCCTCTGGCTGGCCTAGTTTTTCTAGCCAGAAAACAGATTTTAGTAGAAAAAGCAAGTGTTAGAGTCTCAGTTACCCAAACTGAACCTCCTGGGAACTCAGGATGGCAAAGATGGTTCCAGGGGGCCCAAAGCAGATGGACAGATGCATGAGTGTTGGCTGTCATACCAGGCACTTCACATGCCTCTGTACAAGTTACTGTTTAGAATGCAGGAATGGGAACTTAGGAGGAGCAGATGGCTTTGTGAGTCAGCTCGTAATTTGATTCTAGCCTTTGCCTGTTCAAATCAAGTTCTTGGTATCTAACAGCCCAGTTCTGTGCAGTACCATACAGCAGAGTGTGTGGGGACAAGAATAGGCAACAATACCTACCTTAGGAAGATGTGTCCAGAAAGCTCCAGATGGTTACTATAAAGGGTTGTGACTTCCCAAAGACACCTTCACACATGGATGGTACTGGCCACCAAAGCCCCAAACTTGTAGCTATCCCCAGTCAGTCTGTGGGAAGGAGGGCAAAATTCAGTCCTCACAGAGACTTGAGATACTTTGCATTCCAAGTGAGGTGTACTTGACATTTTAACACACCTCATCCAGCCCCAATGTGGGGGTCCCGTCAATAAACAAGAAGGATGAGGACATGACCCAGGAGAGCTGCTCAAACACAGCCCTTTGAGACTGGCTCCTCTTGGTTTGTCTGAGCCCTTCAGACACATCTCAGGACTTAGCTAGGTGGCTAGCCTCTCCCCAGTCCCCAAGGAGGATGGAAACAGGACTGCAGGGTAGACTCTTCCTTTTTTTGCCTGGGCACGGGGCCAAGCCGGCAGCAGGGGGACACTGCCAGGAACCACCCTATACATCGCCTGTATGACTTCAGTTCCTGTGTACCCGCCCCATACATCGCCCATGTGACTTCCGTTCCTGTATGCTCGCATTCCTCTGCAACAACCTCACTGCCAAGGAAGCAGCAACTGGGCTTTTGGCATTCCAGTCACAGTTCATCATGTCTCTATTTGTTCCAGAATGTTTGTGAACTCTCGGGTACATGTTCCCTTTCCACCCCCAGTTCCTAAACATTTTAATGTTCTCCCCAGCCAGCATTTCTTAAGGACTTCGAAGAGGCGAACACACAAAACAGCTGATAATTTCCAAAAATTATAGCATACAAAGGAGAAAGAGACCAGCCATGGAAACTGTTTGTTGAAAGAGAAAGGGAGCAGGGCAAGGTGATGTGTACCTTTAATTCTAGCACTCGAGGCAGAGGCAGGAAGATCTCTAAGTTTGAGGCCAGCCTGGTCTAATGAGAGAGTTCCAGGACAGCCAGGCTGTTACACAGAGAAACACTGTCTTGAAAAAGAAAACCTAAAAAGAAAAAAGAAAAAAGGGAGAAGGGAGGGAAGAGGAAGAAGAGGAAGTAGGGCATGGAGACACACATTAGATAAAAGAGCCCTGTTTCCCAGTGTGTCTCCTAAGCCCACCTGGGCAAGGACAGACTTTGGAGCCAGGCCAGCTAAGTTCAAATTCCGAGTCCCTAAACACAGTGACCTTAGGCACGCATTTGACATCCTGTACCTTTGTTTCTTTATCATTGAAATATGGATGGTCATGGCACCCTTGAAAGTCCTGGTGTGGAGTGTGTGATAAATCTTAGCTATTTTGTTGAGTTGAGCGACAACAAATGAACTGGAAAATCACTGCAGACGACCCTGTTGATGAGGACAGGCTTAGCATTGTGTGGCCATCAGAGATGTGTAGAGATCATAGGAAATGACACATCCCTGTGTATAGGGTCTGTCTGGGAAATCTTCAAAGGCCTGTTCACCAAGCCTTGGGGGAGCTTGCTTTTCGGGATATCCCAGGAGTCTCCCTGAAGGCAGGAAACAATGAGAAAGAAAAGCCTTGTTAGGTCAAGGCAAGAGGAAGACTTGGTTACTGCTACTGAGTGGGGACTGATTCCATCAGCAAAATGGGCTATTCACCACAGATGGGTGTTGGAAAGGATAGCCTTGAAAAGAACCAGGTAGCACTGTACAGACAAGTGACGAATATCCCACATCAATGTGGCATCTGATTCTAGACAGTGCTCATGCACAACTAAAGCTTTCTGTTCTATATGTGTAGTAATCATTTGACCTTCCCAACAACCTATATTTATTCCCATGTTCCTGATTGGAGAGAGCCATAGAGGTGCAATAACTTGTTTGAGGTCACACTGCTATTCAATGGTGGATCTGAGATTGGAGCATAGCATCAGTAGAGTCCTTGATTCTGGGGGAGGGGGGAGCATGTGCACAACTGTGTGCAGATGTGTGGACCTGTGTGTGTGGAGTCCAGAGGAGGATGTTTGGTATCCTGCATAGTCACGCTGTGTCTCATTCTGTTGAGACAGAAGCTGTTGCTGAACTTCTCAGTAAGAAGCTAGGCTGGGAGCCAGCAAACACCAGCTCTCCTCCTCCTCTCTCTCCTCCCATCTCTGCTGGAGTTGTAGGTGTGTGAGGTCATGCCCAACTTTTTACCTGGGTTCTGGGCATTTGAACTCAGGTCCTCATGCTTGCACAGCAAATGCTTTTATGTATTAGTTTCCAAAAGGATTTATTTCATCTTATAGCTTACAGTCTATCATCCAGAGAAGCCAAGGCAGGGACTTAAAGCAGAAACGGAAGCAGAGAGGAACACTGCTTCCTGCCTTGCTTCCTCTCACTTGCTCACTCAGCTACCTTCCTCATACAGCATAGGCTGACTGCCTAGGGGTGGTCCTGCCCACAGTGGGCTCAGACCTCCTATATCATCAATCAGCAATCGCCATGCCCACGGGCCTCAATTGATTAAGCAAAGTTCTCAATTGAGGTTCTCTCTCTTCTCAAGTGTGTCAAGTTGATAACCTGCTAAGCTATCTCCCTTGTCCAAGTCTTTGCTTTTAATCACTGTATATCATAACTAAGATTGACTTAGAACTTACCCTCTGCCATTTTGGAGTTCACTTAAGCCTTGTAACAGTCCTATGATATCCACACTGTCTTATTCCCATTTCACAGAAAAGGAGAGTGAAGTCCACTGAGTATTAGTAACTTCCCTATAGCCACAAGGAGGCATAGCATATGTGTAGATGGTCTGACCATAGAAGCCATTTAGAATCTAGGAGGCAAAGACCCAGAGGAGAGAACGATCATGTCTAAGCAGGCAATGGTTCAGCAGCCTGAACAGCAGGGAAAACATTTGCCATCTAAGCTGAATGCTGGGAAAACTTAGGGAGATTGACTCATGTTACAGACCACTGTCCCAACTCGGGGTTCAAGTCTCAGGTACAGAGCATAGCTTAGAGGAGATCAGTGCCTGTTTCTAGACAGGGCTTGCAGACCAGAGATGTCAAGAGACTCAAAAGCAGTGAGTTCATGCACCGGTAGACCTAGGGACTGGTTTATACAAACACACTCCTGTCATACTTCCCCAAATCTGCATCTGTGTTCAGGTATGATGCTGAGTGGCCTGGGAATGGGAAGCTAACATGAGAGTCCCCCAGTATTGACTGACATGTCTCGAATTGTTCTTTCAGATTCTCCATGAACATGAACTAGCAGGGGAAGAGCCAGTGAGGCAGAAAAGAGCAGGTATGTGCACTTCTTGCTTGGACTCTCAGGAACCAATCAAATGGCATTTGCTGTAATTTTACCATTGATCCCTGCCCCCAAGTCTATCATACAGGGTATGATGAGTCTTGGGTTGCCAGGCAAACACTCTATCTTTACCATTTTGTTATTTTGTTTATTCGTGTGCATATGTATGTATAAGTTAGAGGTACCATCCCTCAGGAGCCATCCACCTTGTTTGTTGAGACAGGGTTTCTTACTGGTCAGGAACCACTCCACCCCCAAGCAGGCTAGTCTGGCTGGCCAGCGAGAGCCCCACAGATCTACTTGCTCTTCCCTCCAAAGCAGTAGGACTACAAGTGTGTGACACTACCATGTCCAGATTTGTAAATGTCAGTTCTGGGGATGGAACCTTGGTCCTAATGCTTACACTGAAGAGAACACTTTACCAACGGAGTCATTTCTCCAACTGTCCTAGTCAAAGTTCTATTGCCGTGAAGAGACACCATGGCCATGGCAACTCTTACAAAGGAAAAGACATAATTGGGGCTGACTTACAGTTCAGAGGTTTAATCCATTGTCATCATGGTGGGAAGCAAGTTGGCACACAATCAGACATGGTGCTGGAGTATATCTGAGAGTTCTATATCCAGATCTGCAGGTAGTAGGCACAGAGAGAGATGCTGGGTCTGGATTGAGCTTCCAAACCCTCAACATCCATTCCCAATGACACACTTCCTCCAACATGGCCACACTGTGTAGTAGTGCCATTCCCTACGGGCCTATGTGGGGCATTTTCATTCAAATCACACCAACATTTGTTTGTGCACTTATTTATTGATAGGTTCTTGCTAAGTTGCTCATGTTGGTCTTGAACCTGGGATCCTCCTGACTCTGCTTTCTAGGTGGCTGGGATTACAAGCCTCCAAACCAGGCCACAAACAACTTTTTGAAACATTGTATTCTCCATGGCCCAGTCTCCCAGTAACTCACAGGAACTGAGCTTTTCATGGTGCTCTTTGCTTGCTAGAATAACTGTAAGGAACCCCGTTTTCAACTGTGTCAAATGTTGTTAAGTGGCCACCGAGACTCCTTGCAACCCCTTTCTTCCCATCACTACTGTCCCACACACCTCCTGTCACTCTCCTCAGCTGCCCTCCAGCACCAAGACTTTTCCCAAGCAGCAGCTTTCCATCCCTTTCAGAGGACCCCTCTCAATTTATTCTAAACCCTTTCCCCCGCCCTCCCTTTGCCTGATTTTCTTTTCCTCTCTTCCATCTCCTTCTCACTCTCTTCTTTGATTCTCTGTCAGTTTAACCCTTCCCTTGGCTGTCCCAGTGGACTCCAGTGTCTCTTCTGCATCTGTCCCCGATGCCAGCCTGTAGCTGCTGTATTTATAAACAGGTGCACTGCCTCCCTCATCCCATCAACACTGTGAACTCTCCTGTACCCTGTGATAGGCACTGAGACAGAGATGTGTCCATTTGTACTGTGGGAAGGCTTTCATGGGTCAAAATGGAGCCAGGGGCGGATGAGTCCCAGCTCCCGGTCTCTATCAAATTCTTCCATGTCTCCAGCCACCGGCTGGTCTCCGTGCTCTTCTGAGCCTGGCTGTCTATCACTCCTGGGAACAGCATAAAGGGGGTAGTTCTAGGGCAGGAAATACTGGTACATCTAAGGATTCAAACATTCCAAAACTTTTCCAGGCCTGCTTTCACTAAAAACAACCATGATGATGATAGGTCATCATGAAGACATGTTTTCCGTTTATTATCCTGGTGCCCTGTGTTCTTGGGCCCCTAGAGTCAATGGGAGGTGTGTAAGAAGCAGCCGGTACACTGCAAATGATGGATTTGTCGTGGTACTTTTACCAAGCCACCAAAGTAAGAAGCAGCCATAGAAAGTTCTCATGCTGGGCTCTTGATGGTAGGATTGTAAGTTGCAATAAAAATTTGAGTCTCCAGAAAAGGGAAGGAAGCAGGGGAGGGAAGCTTTACAAGCAGCCATCCCCAGAGGATGCCTACGTTTGGCCTGAAGTGTTCATGGAGTGAGGAGTTGGCTGGGAGTCAGATTGTCAGAATGGCACACCCTTTCTGGTAAATGTATGCCTCCCTTTTTGAGGGCATGATAGCAGGAGGTGTGAAGATTCTAGAAGAAATAAACTTAAATGAAGTTTTCGTCTGAATCACTGCACCACATCTTTAAAGCCTGGGGTAAAAAATCATCTTTGAAAATTATTCTTTGAGAATTTCATATGTGTGTGTGTGTGTATACACAATATATTTTGACCACATGTATGACTTACTCAATCCATCATTAATGGCTGAATCAATATCTGCATTTATTCTCAGGACATTATAGATGTCTACATATGCGACAAGTCAGATACCCAAGCTCACTGCCCTCCTGAGATATGTATTTGTATGTGTACATGTATATGTACATATACACACATCACATACATATATCCATTGATACTATACATATGTGTGTATACACATATACATACACACACAAACACACACACACCACACACACACATATCAGAGTTATTATATTTCAGGGGCTTTAAGGTGATTGAAGAACTTTTAAAGCCTAGAGTTAATGAGATGGCCCAGTTGATAAAGTGTAACCACACAAGCAGCATGCAGACCTGAGTTTGATACCCAGCATCCATATAGAAAGCCACGTTGAATGGGGTCCACTTGTAAGCCCAATACTGGGAAGGCAGAGACAGGAGGAACATGGGGTTCACCAGCCTGCCAGCCTAGCCAATAAGGTAAATCACAGGTCCCCCAGCAAGAGATGCTATCTTCAAAAACAAAGTGAACAGAATCCCCAGGAATGATACCCAAGGCTTCCACATGTACACACATACATGTACATGCTCATATATACACATATACATCATGAACACACACATACAGAATCCTCTGTGTGGAGGGATATGTCCACAGCACCAAGAGAACATTCTCTTGGCACCAGTCCCAGAGAATGACCTGGAGTCAGGAATATGATGCCATGACACACTAGCTGGTATTTTAGGAAAACTCTTTCCATGCAGTTGGTGAGGAGCCTGTACAGAACCCAAGACCAGAAGCAAGATATGTGTGGAGCTCCCTGAGAGAGCAAGGTGTGTCTGTGGGAGAGAAGGAGGTGCTAGGATTGGTGAAAACACCCAGGATTATGTCACCATTACATCAGGAAGTAGGGTCCAGGACAGCTGGAGGGTGGCACCGAGAAGTGATGGGTGTAAACTACTGAAAGTGATGACGATCCAGGTCGTCTTTGCTGAATTAACTAGATAAAGAAACCAGCCAGGAAGCTGAGCAGCCCCCACATGGCCCTGGCCATGAGTAAGACAGGAACAAAGCAGAGGGCGGGTTTGCCCAAGTCCATGTAAGAAATGGAAGGAAAGAGGTTCAGACACCAGTGTGACGTGGAGAAGAGGTATGCGATGGCCAGAAGCCAAGAAAGCCTAGACCTAAGGGACTATACGCTGGGACAGCTATAGAGAGAGGGCGTATGCTAGAAGGTTTCTGGAAGGAGTGGGAAGAGGAAGAGGAAGCTGGAGGCAGATAGGATCAAGATATTTTGTATACATGTATGAAGTTGTCTAGGAATAAATAAAAGATACTTTTGGAAAGAAAGAGGGAGGCTCTTGGTTTGTAGTTCAAGCTACTGACCATCATGGCGGGCAAGGACTGGAGATAAGCACTGACACAGATGACCATGTCACATCTTCAGTCAGGAAGCAGAGAGAGATGGACGCTGGTGTTCCCCGCCCCTTGTCATCTGTTGAGTCTGGAACCTCAGCTCATGGAATGGAGGACCCCACATTCCAGGTCTGCCCTTCCCATTCAGTTGATCCTTGCAAATGCCCTCAGTGGCTCACTCAGAGCTGAGTCTCCTAGAGGTTTTTTAAATCAAAGCCAAATGGATGTTCACAATTAACCATCCTCAGGGAATTTTCATGGGGAGGGGGACAAAGAAACATTCTTACTGTTTAGAAATAGCAGAAATGCCAACCATGAAGTTCCTGCCTTGGAGTTTCTGAGCTACATTGGGAATAGGACCCCAAGGCCCGACACTGGAGAATGTCTACCACTTGATTGTTGGGTTCAGGAGTGACTGGGTGGGAACCAGGGCAGGCATGGAGGAACCTGGGTGCATGGAGTCTCTGGACATGCTAGCATCATCACAACTCCCGCCCAAAGCAAAGAAGCAAAGCCCTTACTGGAGTGAGCAGAACTCTGGCTCTCCATGATGAAATCCCGACCATACAGACCTGGCAGGTTGCGTGCATGGGCCTTTTGTGATCTGGGTCCAAGGCATACTTGCATTTCTAAGTCTGTAGCAAGAGCCTGGGGATTCATAGCTGTACTCTGGGATAACGTGGTGTGTTTCCGAGTGAACAGATGGGTGATGGGGTGAGAGGAAGGGCTGGGTCCTCTCTGGCTGATGTGGGGGGTTGATTTAGGGCTCGGTTCAGTTTTAGACTTAACAGTGAATGTCAATAATGTTCTGATTTTGGTTTGGTTTGTTTTCAACCTGATTTTTGTTTGACCACTTGAAGGTGAGATGTGATTAAATTAAGGTGAACTTTTTTTTTTTTTTTACTAGAAATATACATCATTGTGTGTGTGTGTGTGTGTGTGTGTGTGTGTGTGTGTGTGCGTGCATTTTGTGTTCGTGGGTGGTTATATACATGTAAACATGAAGGCCAGAGAACAACCTTGGTGTTATTCCTTGGATACTGTACACGGGTTTTTTGTTTGTTTGTTTGTTGTTTGTTTTGTCTTGAGAGAGGTTCCTCTCACTGGCCTGGACCTCACTTAGTAGGCTAGACTGGCTAGCCAGCAAGCTCTGGGCTCTAGCTGTGTCCATCTCCCTCTTGCCGGGATTGCACCATGCCAACATGCTCAGCTTTTGTGTGCAGGTTCCAGGATTGGACTCTCACCCTTGCTCCTGGAACATAAGCACTCTGCCAACCTGCCTATCTCGCCACCCTGCATTGTGTG